ATTCCAAATGTTTTATTCGAAGGAAGTTATAAAGGCCTCAACAATGATCAAATAACTGGATGGTCTTCCCACCTTGATATGAGATACTACCAATGGTTGAAAGGCACTATCAATTATCTTTGAAGAGAATAAAGTTCAGAGTATGTGGCAAATATAATTCGTCGCATTATAGATTTTCTCAACATATGATGACCGCTCTTTGTGGAACTCATCCCTAGAAGGAGGTGTAATGTCACGAACATATGCATGTAAGCCAATAATTACATGTATAAATAGGTAGAAGTAAATAAAAGTAGGTAAAAATAAATTAATTCTATAATATTTGCTATGAATGCTTCCTAGAAGCTTCATAGATGTTGCTTTGACTTTATAGGTGTCTTTAATTGACTTTTTGGATTAAAAACGTGGTTAATAAGTTGGCCATGTGCCACACATGTTGTTAGCTTGAAGACCAAGCTATCTATATGGCCCACACATAGAAAAACTTGCCTTATAAGTCAAGGCATGTGTCCTACAAAATTAACACATATTAGAGGTCTTATAGAACGTCGCCACGTAGCCCTTAGTTAGATAGTATATATAGAAATAAGAGTAAAGCCTTCTTCACTCTTGTCAACTCCTTTCTTGCTTCCAGTCTAGTTTCAAGGGTCTCTAGTTTTCTTGGCTTTTGGCAATAGCCATTCCAGTTTCTTTCTTAATATACATATCAAGTTATTTCTATTTTGTCATCTTTCTTTGAGAGAAGTCTCACTTATTTATTTATTTTTATCATGTTCTTGTCCTTGACAACTTAAGGTGTATCATCAATTATCAATAAGAAAATTAGAAAATTCTTTTGACATTAGCAGATTTTGCTTATAATACAATGCATTCTTCTACTCAATAAGCACCTTTCTTTGCCAATAGTGGTTATCATCCACAATTGAATACTTTTGACTTTTTAAAAGTTGATAATCCTATAGTGGAAGATTTAACAAATCTTTTGTTAGAGCTACATACAACAATAAAGGTGCAATTAAAGAAAGCTAAAGAATGACAAAAGATTAATTATATTTTTAGTTATACTTTTAGAAAAGTCAAGATTATAAGTAATTCAATTTATTTTTAAGTTATATATTTTTAGCCATGATAAACTTAAAATAATTGGATTAGAAAGAAATTTAATAATATTAAATATTACAAAGCTACTATGTCTATTAGTTGTTATTTCTATAGAAAGAATTTCATGAATAATATTTCTTGAAGACAATAGATAACTATCTATGATTTCTACATGAACAGATTTAGTTTCTTTTTATTAAATATATGCTATGTCTTTTAGTAATTTTTTCATCTAAGAAACATGCTAATACTCTTAAATCTAATAAGATAAAAGCTTTATGATATTTAGATCCTAAAATAAAATTTATTGTAAAACAAGGAGAAGATTTTGAAAAAAAATAAAGCCTTTACTAGGTATGGTATAAGTTTCTAACTACACAATTCCTATTATAACTAGACAAACTTGTCTTTTGACATACTATCTTCTTTGATAGCCATACTCCTCATTTTGTGATTGTATCACTTCTTTAGATAATGTTGAGCAGTTTGTTTAGGTTCTCCATAATATAAGCACAATTCTTTTTAACAATGACGATTTTTTTCTTGTTCAACAAGAAGTTTGAAACATATTGTATCAATTTGCATATCTTCTACTTTTGAATGTATGTGTTAAAAAGACGTTGGCATTATTATTGAATTAAAGTAATGTTGAGGTACAATTATGCAATTCTTAGATGATAATTTAAAAAGTCAATTGTCATACCTTACAGCAAAGTTAATTACTTCATTCAATGTTTGTGAATGAGATAAGTTGAGTATCAATTTTTTTACCTCATATTATAATCTATAGAGAAATTAGCTAACAAGTACAGCATCATCTCACTTGATATTAATTACAAGTTGTCAAAACTATAAAGCATATAATGTTACCAATAAATTGCTTTGTCACAAAATACAAATTTTATTGGTTGCAACACAAATTGTATCATGTTCTCCATACATGGATTGAAACTTTGCCAAAAAAGCCTCTTAATTATTCAATATTAGATCTCAATATTTAAAAAAAGATAAAAACTATAATAATGCAAAATCAAAAAAATGTATACCAATGAATCTAACCTTTGATCATGGACTTGGATAGCTTTGAAGTTGAAGTTCAATTACAAGTTATATTTAATTGATAAATCCTCAAAACTTGAATCTTGTGCTATCAAACTTCTTGAGTAGTACAACCATTAGTTCTCTAACGCTAGAAGAGTGTTCCACGATAGAATAAAAAATATAATTTGGTGCAAATATTGAAGCAGCTCCAATCATCTCTATATCTTTACTTCGTGCCATTTTTATTGCTATTTCTAGTAGTAAATTGCATTGATGCATCACAAGTATTAACTTCCTCAATAATTCTTATATTTATATCATTTCAATCTTCATTTTAAGGAGTTTTGTCATGATAATACTTAAAGAAAGAAAGATGTCTAATATTGCTCATAACAAATAGAAAAAAAGACTTTAAAATAAAGAAAAAATATTAAGGACAATATCAATTTAAAAGAGCATATTCTATAATTCCTAATACACTTAAGTTTTATTAAAAAAAAAGAGATAATCTATTCTTAATTTAAAAAAAAAAAAAAAAAAACAAAGCTTTGATATTGTAAGTATATTCTTATCAATCTATTAAGAATAAAAATTCAATGAAAGAAAATAAACAAACAAAAAAAAATCAAAGAAATATAAAAAAATAAAAATAGAAAATTATGTATAAAAAATATATAAAAAAAAAATGGAATGGCTATTGCCAAAAGACAAGAAAACTAGGGACTCTTGAAACTAAATTAAAAGCAGGAAAAGAGTTGACAAGAATAAAGAAGGCTTCACTCTTACCTATATATATACTATCTACTTAGGATCTATGTGGCAATGTTTTATAGGACCTCCAAAAACGTGTTGACTTTGCATGACACATATCTTAATTTGTAAAGCAAGTTTTTTATATGGGTGCTTTATAGTAAGCTTGTTTTACAAGCTATCAATACATGTGGCATGTGGTTAGCTTGTTGATCAAGTTTTTAATCTACTAATTAATTATAAATACATGTAAATTCAAAATACCATCTAAGAAGCTTCTAGAAAGCTTCTAGGAAGCTTATCTAGAATGTATTATGAAATTAATTTATTTTTATCTACTTCTACTTATTCATATTACTTAGATAATATTTATAGTAGATATATATTTATGACAAATTTATTTATTAAAGCAATAAAATATAATTTTTAGTTCATTGCTTTGTCAAAGTCCTCAAGCATTGATCTTGATGGGATTAAAATAATCAATTATTACACTTTATAAGTTAATTGATAGCTTCATTGAGTATTTGAAGATCAAATAATAATAATAATAATAGGTCTTTTTCATCATCTCTTAATTTCCAATAGAATTGGCTCATAAGAGTTTATTCATTCTAATTGATGTGAAAAGCCAATTGCCTAAAATCAGATGTATAAACTAATACAAAATGTGACTCTTGATGTAATAAATAAATCTTTGTTGTTGTCTATCAAGCCTTATAATATTCTCTAAATGCCTTTGTAAATGCTTCTAAAAAAACTTTGAAATTACTTACGATTAGAGATCTCTTTTCAAATAAAGGAGCAAATCATGATAAGACTTGTTTTGTAAGCAAGATTTAAATTAAATCAATTTGCAACTCTTTTGTTGAATAGCACTCAAATTGTAGAAAAGTTCTCAATTGAATTTGATTAGCAGACCCTTAGAACTTTAAATGTGTGCCATCAAACTTTTTACATGACAAATCCAAGGTTCTTAACTTCATTGAATAGATGAATTTTCTTATTGAAGTATAGGTGCTACCACCTCCTTAGATGTAGAAGCTCAAGAAAGTAATTACATTACAAGTTGATTTGCTCCATGTCTTACATCACCATGAAATCTTACAAAAAATTCTTCACTTTCAGTAGTTCTACAAGTTAAAGTATTTAGTGTCTTCATAATAATAACTAATTTGGACTCAAGAGACTCAGCCATACTAACATCTTCACCTCTAGCCATCTTAAAAGAAGAAAAAAGAATTTCTAAACAATACTAATTTATAAGAGGATATTTTGCAACTTCTAAAGTACTTAAATGCCTTTAAGAAGAGAGATAATCTACTCTTTATTAAGAAGAATCAAGCTTTAGTATGAATAAAAAGATAGTCTCAATAAATTGTCATAGATGCACTATATATAAGACCAAATATGAAGTTGAATCAAAAAAATTCAACATAAAAGCTAATAAGAACTTAATTAAATCAAATGAATATAAAATCAACACCAAGAAAGTTAACTAGATCTCCAAGAGATGTATGTTGAGATTGAGAATCTCCTCTACATCAATTCTAATATATATATCTATATATATATATATTAGGTATTAAAAAGCTTCTTAAAAAGTTTCCATATTACTTAAAGATGAAGCAATTTTAAGAAGCACCTTGAGAAGTTTCTATATTGCTTAAAGAAGAAACAACCTTAAAAAACTTCTTGAGAAATTTCCATGTTACCTGAAGATAGAACAATCCTAAAAAGCTTTTCAAAAAAAAAAATTAATCCTCTTAGAACTTTCTAGAATCTACTAAAATATTTTAAGAACCTTTTAGAACCTTTTAAAAATCTTCTATGAATCTTTTTAGAATCTTTTGAAACCTTTTAAAATCTAATAGAATATTCTAAAAATATTTCTAGAATCTTCTTCTTTGATGTCTGTAGCTTTCACTTCTATTTCTTTTTTATTCACTTTCAGTTTTTTATTTTATTTTATTGATAAATAAGATTTAGAATTATTTAGGAATTCTTGTTGATTCTAATCCCTAAATAATTCTAAATCCATACCTAAGACTTCTTCTACTTCATCCTAAAATTACTTCAATTTCCCTGTAAAACAACAAACCACAACAAAACCAAAAGGTGGTACTAGCACAAGATAAAAATAAAAATAAAAATACATGATGAAAACTCTAAACTAAGTAGGTTCTTCTAAACCTACTCTACTTATTATATGATCGCCCTGGAGCCCTCATTGAGCTTGAAGAAATGCCACGCTGGTCGACTGGTTGTGAGTGGAGTTCTACCACCACAGTCCGCCACCCTTGCCTAATTGCCCAGGTGCTAGACAAGCTGCTCCGCCACCTTGCTTGATCGCTAGGTGCTAGACGATGACTCCAAAACAGGGAAGATGCTGCCAGTGAAGGTCGACCCAACACCAAGCACAATCGCCAATCCTTGGCCGACTACACTCTGATGCAACTCAACTCATGGAGTGCAGAATTTTATCCAAGTCACATGCATACACGCATGGCATTGTTGGAGTTGGATCAACAAGCGCAGCGTCCTTCTGTTCAGGTTTTATAGACTCGGCACATCTGCTGGTCACATTGGGCGTTGGAGAGGAGTCAAAACTCAACTAAATTCCACACGCATCATGAACCACAGGAACACACTACCTAACAATCCTCTCTTCGACACACAATCAATATTGATTTATTTATTTATTTTTCTATCGAGACCGCCGTAAGCGCACCCATGAGGGCAAGGTCTAGCTCCACACAATTTGCTTGTTCGCCCAGTTGTTCGCTTAACCATTGCCGTAGTCCGCTCAACCCATGACACCGCAGCTTAACAAGGATTCCTCCGCTCTTCACTGCAGTGGTCCACCAAAGTAAAGGAAAATGAGTAGCTCAAGATAAATGTAACCATAGCACTCCAGTATATTACCCTTGAACTGGTGACAACGTAATAGCTCAGTCCACAGGCACCAGCCAGAACATTCAGAAGCAGCTCCAAACAGGGGGTATTTCTATTCATTCATATCTGAAACGCACAATTTGCATTCATCTCGATGTCCTAGATTTCTTGCATCGATAGCATTACAGACAAGCTGATGTGAATATAGATGAGCCTACCTCAAAAGCTTTTAAAAAGAACAGAAACAAGGTAGAAACAAAGTCCTTCCAATCACAAGAGTCACATGCCTTACAATCCGACTAAAAAGAGCAACCCAATCTCGATGTTTACAATTGATAGTTCGGCATCGACATCCAAATGTGCATGAACTCGACAAATCAATCTCTGTCACAGCACAGACGCATTCGCTCGAATATCATAATCTACACATCCTAATACTCAGACCAAACCATTTTTTGCGGTATCATCGGTTTGCTTGGTTAACCAACTTGAAATTGCATCAGGTCCGCCAAAAGTTTTTAAAGAAATTGCACAACACTTCAAGGACTTAGTCACAGGTAGGAGGAGGAAAGAAAGATCACGTGGCGCAAAAATACTACTATTGTGTGCTGAAGACGTGGTACTGCGTTCTTATCCCTTGAATTTGCAGTAAGGCAGAATGAACAGACAAAGGAAGTATTGATAAAATCACGTTAGATATGTAGGAAACAAGCATTGAAAAATGATTATAAATTGGATGAAATTTTCAAATCATAATTCCCTAATAAATAACCAGAGTGAAAGAATTCTTATGGCAATAGTAATTTAAATTATTGAGCCATTTCCCAAGCAGATTGCAGCCAACCACGTCATCTCTTATTATATCGGCAGGTTGTCGTTTCTATTCTACCAATTTCAACTGTTCGATTTTGAAGTAAGCGATCAATCTTTTATTCAGTTTAATCCTGACGATGTACTGAGGGGATTCGGCTAAGGATCAGTGTCGGTATTATCATTCACAACACTGTGCCTGACAATCATCGCCCAGAGCACCTACGCATGGAATGTTTACGTGTACAAGCCAACGGACCAATATTTCTATTAACAAATCCCATGAAAAGTAAGCAGAGAAGTAGAATTTGAGAAAAATATTTCCTCCAATTCTCAAAAGAATGATGCATAAAGTAAGCTATTTCAAAATTACAACAAGATGAACAGAGCTTATTGCATGAAAGGCTTTGACTCAGCCTATCAAAAGATTAATATATCAAATTTAATACGAAGAAAATTGAAATAGCTTACTGTAGGGCTGATTTATTCGACAAGACACGGCAGCACGTCATGCACGTAAAAGCAAAATCTCTGCTCCTTAGAGCATCTTAATAGCGCTATCGAGTGTGAAAGACGGGGAAGGTTGGTGTTGAAGGTCGAGACTCCAGAGGATTCCGAAACTTATCCCGCAAGCTCTTGTCTCCAAATATGTAACGAAGAATCAATGTCCAGTGAATAATGTCACGAACACAATAGCAGTCAGCAGGCGGAGAACGACAGGTGAATCAAAGCAGTTTGGTGCCAGATTTTCTTGGCACAGGCGATTTGACGCAAGAACGATGGGAATGAAATCAGGGAGAGAAAGAAAGAAAGGGACGGAAGAGGAGGCGAAGAAGAGCGAGAGAAAGTCGGCAAGAGAAACTTCGGTTGGAGCAGAGCTCTGGAAGTTGGTCCCTCCCGCGAAGCCTGACCAGGGCGGGAGCAAGCCACCCACTCACTGCGTGCCACGTAGACAGAAGAAATGCTCTGTTCACACTTCCAGATACCTCCTTGGCAGAATTTCTGCTCTCCAGCTGTACAAACAGTTCATAGTTGTTCGTCAATAATCACACTATACTTTATAAAATAACTAAGCAAAATTGGTGTAAATTTTTGAGGGCACATTAATTTAGTGGGAGTTTTGTGCCATCTCATCTTCATCTCTCTATAAGAGAAACCAGAATGGTATGAAATCTTGTCAATCGTTTGTAAAACATGCAATCTAAAGGATGAAATAAGAAGAAGAAGAAGAAGAAGATGAGTAAACATATATATATATACATACATATATATATATATATATATATATATTTACTGAAGTAAATGAATCTTTAACTCTCAATGCTCAGAATGACTTTGGTTTCTTGATGAGCTTCACTTCTCCTTCGTATGTTTGCAAATCTTTGGTATTCAATGTATGGAAATTTGCTATGACCTCTTGAAAATACTGTAACCGGACCTACTCATTCTTTACACAAAAAGGTGTTTTTTTGAACTTTTTAGATGATATACATCAAAGTTCGAAAGTCTGCACATAACCTATATTCACTTATAACACTATATATAAACATTAGTTTAACTCCATTAAAATTAATAAAAAAGAAGAAGATAGAGTTGGAATTTAAAACGTAGTCATACCTAAACCCTACAGCATTGAGACAAATAGAACAAAATAAATGGGCACATCATAACCACATCACTTCCAATCAGATTAGATTTTAAAAATAGAAGGTAAAAAGTTCTAAAATAAAGTAAAATAAAAATAAAATTATTTACGTGTAATTTAATCAATGAGATCACTGAAATCTAAGCATTGTGATCTTCATATCAAATAAAACATATTCATATCACTTGTCTATTTTTTTCATGTTTACGAAATGACACAAGAAAAGTTTCTGAAGCTCAGTCTTAATTATTATTATTATTATTATTTTATAATGAGATTTGAATAGTCAAACCTACCAATAAGTTCATTTACAACCACAATAAAAACATTTTTTAGTAAAACTTATCAGCTTCAATTTTACAAAAAAATTACTAAAATATAAACCCACACAAATAAATAAAAATATTAAAAAATAAAGCATAATAAAAAGAGTATTCAATATAAAAAAAAATAAAGGAATGAATACATAGTGATAGACATATGGTGTTTGGGACACATATTGCAATAATCAAAAGTGAGCGTGAGTTACTGAAGAGGATACGAACAACGTGAGAGAGAACAAATGAACTCGTGGAGGACGGGGGTTAGGTGCCCCTGTTGCAACCCCCTTTGCCCGGACCCCCTTTGTCTTGCGGCTTCGGTTTCTGGGTTTTGGCTGATTTGCATCAGTGTTTCCAAGTCTTTGTTCTCCTTTTCATTGCATCGCTGCAGCCTCGAACCATCTCGCCTCGGATTTCTCTCTGTCCTGAAGTTCGTCGCGCACTTGTGTGTTGCACGCCGCTTTCTCGCAGTGTCCGTTACGAAGAGGTAACACATCGCGCGCAGTATTTGAGATGGTTTAACCTCCCCCGGCCAGCGAAAGGTGGCGAGGCTTGACGGGTCGTCATGGCTAGTGAGGAGCAGCAGAGGCCTGTTTTCAAAGTGCCCGTTGCTCGTGGCAAATCTATCCTGGGTGAGTGCTCTTAATTATCTTTGTTCACCTTGTTGAAGGTACCCAATTTTTGCGCAATTCTGTACTTATTTTCGGCCTTCATGCAGGTCTTTGGTCGTTTTTCATTGGAGTGATTATAGGGTTTCACTGTAATTGAGTCTCAATTCTATCAGTATTGAATGAGTTGAGCATGAGTTGCCTGAATCAACGTACTTGGTTTTATTTGGTTGATTATATTAGGTCTTGATAAATTAGCGGCGGAGAAACGTGTAAAACGAGCAGCAGAGGGCGAGAAAACAGGGGATGTGAAGAGGCCGCACTACATATCTGTAGCAGCTAGTCAAACTGAGGATACTGAGAGAGCAGTAGAAAAGGATGGAGATGAAGCAATTCCGTCTCTGAGAGAGAGTTCTCATGGAGCTCCTCGCAAATATAGGGAGCGATTACGAGGAGATAGTGATCAATCTGATGATAATGAACGGCCATCCGACAAACATGAAAGAAGCAGTAGTCAGGAGAGACCTGATAGGCGTAGCGATTATTTCCGGGACGATACGCATGAGTCAAGGAGTGAGCGAGACAGGAGAAGCTCTTATTCTGATAGAGAGAGGAGCAGACGGGGGTATGGAAATGATTACACTCCTAGTCCTAGCCCAAGCCCTAGCCCACGGCGACCTTCCTCAGGTACGTTTATGCGTTCTATCCATAGTTAATCCATGTGGTTTGCATGGCTGATGCTTAATACTGCTTGTTGACAATTCATGGACATTATTGTTCACCAAGAACAAACCATGAAATGGTTTATTTCTAGGTGACGAGATTGTTTATCCAAGATTGATTATGTCTAAGAGGGAGCTGGTGCCATCTATTCTGCATTTAGAGAGATGAATTCGTGTACTAACTGCTCACAGCGCGTGTTGGAAACGAGAATGATTAGTCTAGCTGACTATTGAACGCCCGAGATGACTACATTTCTACATGCGTGGCTTCATGGTGCAAGCGTGCACTAATTTCATGATCTATCATTTAAGTTTCCTGAAAAGTTATTGGACGATGACTGCTTGTCAGGACGCACTACTTGGGACAATAGATCCTGGCAGTGGGAAGAAACTCCGCGCCGTGGTGGTGCCACTCCTCGCCATGATCGATCATATCCTCCCCCGTCACCGGCTGGAAACTTTATTCCAGCGTCCCCTGCTGAGTCGCGGATGGCCTCTCCGTGGGAAGGTGGAGACAGTCCTTACCAAGGTAACGTCTCATTCATGGAATTTTTAGTATTTCTGCGCAGAGTCTGTTTGCGCTCTTGAGGATTATATTTGATTTGTCCGTGACTTCTTATGTATTCTGGGGCTCAGATGTATGTCATGTAACTTCATTATGTATTGGGTGAACTACTTCAGGATTTGTTTGGCCTTCAGGCATGTCAGGTTCAACCTGGCTCCAGAGGGATGTGGGCTTCTTGTTTTCTGCACTATTTATGTTCTGTTGAAATTTGACTTACAGTGTCCAAGTTTTGTAATCTTTCACAATCCACGATGCTTTTTTTGTAAATCCTCTAGCTTACTGTCGTTGAAGGCAATTTGTCCTGATATCATTTTTTGCTAGAACGTTCTGACTGCTTATTCTCGGTTATTTTGGTGTGTATTTTGTTTCATTGCAGCTTCACCCTCACCATGGGACATGGCATCTCCATCACCATCTCCTATAAGAGCAGGGGGTGCGACTCCATCTGGTGGAGGTACACGACATGTTTCAAGTAAATATACTCCGAAGGGAAGAGAGCAGAATCATAAGCTACAGTTTAGGTCTCAATCCACTCCTCGGAATGGAACCTCGGTACTGTTTTTATCCAGCTCCTCCTTTCACCTTCTGTCTCCTCCTCACTGCTTTATGCTGTTTTTGACCTGTCTCACGTTTGTGTCAAACTTAGAGTGGTGTATTTGGTGATAGAGATGCAGGATTGATGCAGTTCTCGACATGGGATGTTTTCAGAGTTAGCTCATCCTGTGGGTTTGCTTACTTAGATTGCATTAGTTTTAGGTGTCTCAATTGGACTTTGTATCGTGGGATATGGCGATTCGATCTGGTATTGCACTATCTGTTGGTTTGTTCGGCCATGATAGTATTTGACTTTAGGTCATCGTGTCCATCTGTGCTTTATGCAGATTGGTAAATCTAGTCTTAGTGGAGGTGGAGACGGTGAAGGTTGGGAAATGGACGAGCAGACACGTGCTGAAATGGAGGAAGCAGAACGGGAAGCTGATCGGAGTTGGTGAGGACTTATATGCCGGATTTAATGTGGAATTCGCAGAAAAATATTTACTTGTGATAGTGTATGCTGAGTGTGCATTCCTACTTGAAGTACGCATGCTTGGTTTGATTGATGCTACCACTTTCTATATTGACCTAGGAGTTTTGGCAGGTATAATCAAGAAGAAGGTGGTGCAAGTTTTGATTCGGAGGGTGCGCAACCATTCATTGGTGGTGAAGCAACTTTCAAGAAAAGGGAAGCTGAAATGGTGAAACGCCTGGTATGCTTTCTACTCCTTCTTAACACTGGAATCCCTTGAAGTTTTCATTGGGCTATTTACTGTTAATTCTAGCGTAGACTTTTCGTTTAAGTGTATTCACAGCTTAGTTGATTGTTGGAAATAGTTTTGATGGTGATGATGATGATGATGTTTGCTCAGAAACGGAGGGATGGAACAAACATGAGCTTGGCCCAAAGCAAGAAGCTGTCACAACTCAGTGCAGATAATGCACAATGGGAAGATAGGCAGTTGTTGCGATCAGGCGCCGTTCGTGGAACAGAACAGCAAACAGAGTTTGACGATGAGGATGAGAATCGCGTAATTTTACTTACTCATGGTGAGTGATCCCTGGACAATCACATGCATACTTTTTCATGCAACTGGAGTTACGTACCATCAGTTTACTGGTCTTTTGTTATGGTGGAGACTGATATTGTAGATCTATAACAATTGAAGGAATTCAAATTGTTTTTGCGCAGTGACCGCAAGGAATGTACGACTAATATTTTTAATTAGTCATGCTCGGGAACGATGAGATCGTTTGATGTTGTGGCTGGATTAGGATTTTTGTATGTATTTTTGTTCTGCTATTCGATGTGATCATCTGCTAGTAAGATTATGTGAGAATAAAACGACTCGGCTCTTATCTTTCAATTTGAAGTGGAAATGATGTTTTCTATGCTGGACCGTTGCAACAGACACAAAGCCACCATTCTTGGATGGGAGAGTGGTCTATACCAAGCAGGCTGAGTCAGTTATGCCAATCAAGGACCCAACATCAGATATGGCCATCATATCTAGGAAAGGTTCAGCTTTGGTTCGAGAAACGCGTGAGAAGCAAAGCGCCAACAAGTCACGACAGCGTTTCTGGGAGCTTGCAGGCTCCAAGCTAGGGAACATACTAGGTGTTGAAAAGACCGAGGAGGAGGTGTGTTCTTGAGCTCTTTCACAGCTAGGCTAAGCTTTGATGTCAACAGATGTGGAATGCAGATTTTCTGTGATATAGGACCTGCACTAGTTTCGTGAAATGTTACTTGCGATGCACACTTTATGAACTAGAATGTTCTATGTTCTTGTGTTTTTCAGCAGCTTCTATTGAATTTCTCCCTGGGTCTATTATAAATAGGCGTATCGTAATGCAGACGACCTTTCAGTGCATGTGGACGAGTGTCACTACTTTTTGGTATTTTGTTTTTTTGTTTTCCTGCCAATTAAACATGCCCTCATGTTACCCATACTTGTTCCGGCTGTTGGACTATCAGATTGATGCAGATAAGGATGCTGTAGGAGGTGAAGGTGAAGTAGACTTTAAAGAGAATGCTAAATTTGGGAGCCACATGAAAGAAAAAGGAGAGGCAGCAAGTGACTTTTCTAAGTCCAAGTCGATCATAGAGCAGCGCCAATACCTTCCAATCTTTTCTGTGCGAGACGAGCTTTTACAGGTATGTCATCTTGTTTGTATCATGTTATTGATCATATCCTTGGAGTTGATGATGGCTTCACCAAAACTTATGCCGTGAGTGGTTCGGATTAGTTGCCTGAAAATTTTCATTTTCTGGTCCTTGGATTGTCAGGAATTAAAACTGATGAGTTGATTGAGTTCATTACAGCTTTCTGTTGTCGTGTATTGCAGGTTATTAGGGAGAATCAAGTTGTGGTAGTTGTAGGTGAAACTGGTTCCGGAAAAACCACACAAATGACACAGGTCCGGTCTCTATTTTCTGTTGTTGCTGCATTTCATTTGCAAATCTTGGGATGATTTTGAAGGCTGTGATTCTAGGAGAATGTTGCCTTTCTTAAAATGGAAGTAGGTAGTGATATTATTGAGGGAGAACATAATGCTATTTAGTACAATCTTTGGTTTTTTAACCCTGTATTTCATTTTGTAATCATTGTAGTATCTGCACGAAGATGGACAGACCACGTTTGGGATGATTGGTTGCACTCAGCCACGAAGAGTAGCAGCAATGAGTGTTGCAAAACGTGTGAGTGAGGAGATGGAATGTGAACTTGGAGACAAAGTTGGGTATGCTATTCGATTTGAGGACGTCACTGGACCTAATACCATAATCAAGGTATTCAACTTTTTTGTATTCCGTATACACCATTGTGCTTTCACTTCTAACGAAAATAGTTGCAACATTAGATGTAGAACACGCTCTATATTGCTAATTCTTGGTGCTTAATAGCATAGATTTGCACGTATTATTCTTATTCAATTTATTCTGGTTTCTGCAGTATATGACGGATGGTGTGCTTCTGCGAGAGACTTTGCGAGATGCTGACCTCAACCAGTACAGGTGCGTTTACTTGTTACTCCTCTGCAGCTTATACATAGTAACATGCAAAAATAAATGAAATCTGATTGCATATTGAGCTTGAATAGCGTTTGGAGTTTGAGAGGCAAGCGTGCGAAAACTAAACACGTGACTGTTTTTTGTCTTTTTGTGAACAGAGTGGTAATCATGGACGAGGCTCATGAACGTTCTCTCAACACTGATGTGTTGTTTGGTATCTTGAAGCAAGTCGTGGCTCGCCGACGCGATTTCAAGCTGATCGTGACCTCAGCTACACTCAATGCGCAGAAGTTTTCGAACTTTTTCGGAAGGTTTGTTTTCAACGGGATTTTAGTAATGCTGGTTAGCAATTTTAGTCAATGTAGTTGTATGTATCTTTGATAAAGAAATGACGTCATCGCTTTCGTTTTCAGTGTGCCAGTTTTCAACATCCCTGGGAGGACATTTCCGGTGCAGATTCTGTTCAGTAAGACACCATGCGAGGATTATGTGGAAGCAGCAGTTAAGCAGGCCATGTCCATTCACATAACTTGCCCTCCTGGTGACATTCTAATCTTTATGACTGGGCAAGATGAAATTGAATGCGTTTGTTTCAATTTAGCTGAGCGGATGGAAGCGCTTGAAGCTAGCTCGGCGAAACCTCCTACTCCATTGGCCATTCTTCCTATCTACTCTCAACTTCCATCCGATTTGCAGGTGTTGTACTGCCATCTCACCTCTCAATTCTGAATTCGTTATATCTCAAATGTTCTGCAAATCTCAAATACAGGACTTGTCTTTAAGTATTTACTTCATTTTCTCCTTTTATTTTCCCCTCTAGCAGTTTCTATCCCTAGGACAATGAAAGCAATAGTTTTTGGGTCGATGAAGTAGCAATCTTTGTGAGTAAGAAAACGAAATTGCAGAAGTTGATATCTGCTGGTGTGTTTGTAGGCCAAAATTTTCCAGAAGGCAGAGAACGGTGCTCGCAAGTGCATTGTGGCAACCAACATTGCGGAGACATCATTAACAGTAGATGGGATATTTTATGTTATTGATTCAGGTTATGGCAAAATTAAAGTGTACAATCCTCGTATGGGTATGGATGCTCTTCAGGTCTTTCCTTGCAGCCGTGCTGCTGCAGATCAGAGGGCAGGTCGTGCTGGTCGCACTGGCCCTGGTACATGTTACCGTCTGTATACGGAAACAGCTTATCAAAATGAAATGCTGCAAAATCCTGTTCCTGAGATTCAGAGAACGAACTTGGGAAATGTGGTACTGCTTTTGAAGTCGCTGAATATTGATAACCTACTGGAGTTTGACTTTATGGACCCCCCTCCGCAGGAGAACATTCTGAATTCGATGTACCAGTTGTGGGTGCTTGGTGCCCTTGATAATGTTGGGCGGCTCACGCAGTTGGGACGCAAAATGGTTGAGTTTCCTCTGGATCCTCCACTTGGCAAGATGCTCCTTATGGGTCATCAGCTCAAGTGCATGGACGAGGTCCTCACAATCGTCTCTATGCTCTCTGTTCCATCTGTTTTCTTCAGACCCAAGGATCGTGCAGAGGAAAGTGACGCTGCCAGAGAGAAGTTTTTTGTGCCAGAGAGTGACCACTTGACGCTCTTAAATGTTTACCAGCAGTGGAAAAGTAACCAATATCGAGGAGACTGGTGCAATGATCATTTTCTTCATGTGAAAGGTCTTCGTAAAGCCCGAGAAGTTAGATCCCAGTTATTGGACATCTTGAAGCAGCAGAAGATACCGCTTACATCCTCAGGAACTGATTGGGATATGGTGAGGAAAGCAATCTGCTCGTCATATTTCCATAATGCTGCACGTTTGAAGGGGATTGGAGAATACGTCAACTGTCGCACGGGCATGCCATGTCATTTGCATCCCAGTAGTGCTCTTTATGGGCTGGGTTATACACCCGACTACATAGTTTATCACGAACTGGTTTTGACGTCGAAGGAGTACATGCAATGTGTGACTGCTGTAGAACCACACTGGCTGGCTGAGTTAGGGCCCATGTTTTTCAGCATCAAAGATTCTCATACGTCAAGGCTGCAGCAGAGGCGAAAGCAGAAGGAAGAGAAAACAGCTATGGAGGAAGAAATGGAGGAGGTGCGGAAGGCTTTTGCCGATGCTGAAGCTAAGAAACAATTAAAAGAGAAAGCCCTCCGAATCAAGGAAAGGAATTCGGTTGCCACACCTGGGTTACGCCGTGATCATGGGGCTCCTAAGAGCATCCCTCGTCGACTGGGATTGTAGATGGTAGGGATACATCTTTAGGTTGTTGAAGCTCACCTCTGCAGGTGGTAATTCGGTCTTTCAGTTTTTAATGAAAGGTTTATTTCCAGGAAGTACATACTCGTGGGCTAGCACTTTCACATCTTGGCTTCTCTCAGCCCTTCTGTCTAGTGTGGGAGAAGTTGGTTGGTTCGTTTGTTGAGCTCCAAAATCTTCCTTCCACTTCTGTCAGAGGCTGAATGGTGCTTGGAAACGAGGGTGTTTTTCCTTTGGAGCAGAGAAAGTGGTAGTAAGAGCTGTGCATTGTACTTTGGATAACTTGAGAAATAACAGGATTATGCGAAGTGCGAACCCTGGTTGTACATTACAACCATGTGGATCTTTAAAGGTTGGGCATTCGAATATTTCCTTTCCATCTGCCGATATCTAGCAAGGACAACTGTTTTCGTTATTTGACAATATAAAACATCTGACGTCAAAACCGTCAGTCTCAATTCTTTTACGTTGACAATGACCGCGCTTCTTGACGGTTCCATACACATTGCTTTTCAACCATGCCGGAATGAGCGAAATGACAGTGAGCTCTGTGATGAAGACTGGGTTATGTATAGAATGGTCTGCAGTAAACAAACAACCCGCTTGTCTGAGTTGAATCAAAACCAGCTTTGGTGTATTAAAAAAATGCAGAACCTGCTGGAATGTGACTTTTCGAAAAAAATAAAGTACAGCAAATCATTAAATTCTTTGGAATGCAAAATGCTAGGTACATGAATGCTGCAGGTTCATTGAATGGAGACAATGTCAGAAACGGAAAAAAGGTTGCAGCTTCACTTGGCGTGATAATTTTTGGCTTCCTGTTACATGTGGTTGTGAGAGATCTTACAATCTAAGCTATAGAAGGCTTGGATCCTAAATATGAATCTTAATCTATAAATTGGCAGCAACTAGAAAAGTTTCTTGTGCTTTTTTTTTTAAAAAAAAAAAGAGAGAGAAAGAGAGAGAAAGAGTAAAAACTGTCAAAATATAGAGTCGAGCATTTGTAATTTATTTTTGGGTGTTATTTTTAGTAACTCCTCTTTCCACGCAATTTTAGTTATTATCCCGAAAGAAAGGAGTCATATTTACACTTCAACACAATAACATGTTCAAAGTTGAGTAATAATAACGATAATAATAATAATAATAATAAAAGGGGTCAATCTACATTCAATGCACATCCTATACTAAGATAATCATACGGAGTTCTTAAAATACAACGCTGTACTGAGGGTTAATTGTAAACTTTAATAAAGCTATAATCAATTTTTATCACAGAAACTGTGCGTTTTTAACAACACGGAATTTATTAAATGCCAACATTATTTTGCAAATGGAAGGCACGATAAGAAATGCCCTTTTTTTATCTGGACAAAAAGTCTACTTGTATTTATATTTATATACTAGAGCATCACATCCTTGGCCAACATTATGTGTTAAATATTTCATACAAATTCTAATTTTGTTTGTTGAATTTTGATAGATTCTAACAATCTACTTATTGTTTTGGTAAACATGTTCGAATTTGTAAGGTAATGGTTGAAAACGTGATTTACATGCTTTATTTTGCCCATTTTTTTGAATTGGTTATGCCATACTTCTGTAAGAATTGGTATTGGTTGTAACATTTTGATTTGTCAGTAGAAACAATATTTGTTTGGTTAGTGCTTCATACCAATTATCATGCAATAAAGCATGTATTTTTTCATATGTATCCATTTGATTTATTCTGCTACACATGCCAATGCAGTTAACAATTACAGATCTACAAAACCAAATGAAGCTCCTGCATGTAGGATGAAGTAAAACTACTACAGTTTTCAAGAAGTAAAGAAATAAGAACAATGATGAAGTCACATATACCCTCATGTACCACATGTACCACCATTCATATCAGAAACGTACACAAAATAGCAAGACCGAAGGAAGGGAGGAAGGGAGAGAGAGTGGGCATCCATCCAGTGAAGGAGAATGAATGGGAGTGATGGGGAGGAGGGTGGGAAGGAGGCCCGGAGCCCCAAACGAGGCAAGACCCTGTTTCAAATTCTATGACAGAAGAAGAGGGGTTGGGGAAAGCTAAGCAAAGCAGGAGGGAGGACGAGGAGCAGGGGATGGGTCCATCTGGATGGGAACTTTGTTTCCAGCGTCCCTCGCTCTCTCTTCGCTACTTCGGCGATGGAGCTTTGTCAGAGCCTCGGGCATCGCTGCGGAAAAGCGACAACAGGGCAACAGGGCACCAGGTCCAGGGCAGGGCTGGCAGGTGAGCGGAGGAATTTGAGGCGGAAGGAACTGGGCCTGCTCGGGTTTGATGCCCGTTTCCGGGGTTTTGTGGCCACAGCTGCTGCCACTGTTCCCGGCCCTCTTCCAACCCACTTTCCCACAGCTCCCACTCCCACCAGAGGTTTCCACTTTCGGAATCGTGGGGTGGATGATGAAAGAGTGAAGATGACGACGATTTTCGGCGTGTGAGGCCCGGGAGATCAAAAGGTGCACCCTGCGAATCCTCCGGGACAGAATCTCTTGGTGGTTGTTCGGTTTTGCCGTGGAGAGCCTAAACTTGGGCGTTGTGCAGCTTCATGGGCATGGCAGGCTTGCCAGCTTCCCTTGTATTGTAGCAGTCGTGCGCTCTTTTCCCACACCCGTAGCATTGCAAGCCCTCGCTCGCAGCTTTTCGGTCTGTGCTCTCTCGCAGATTCAACAGTCATTTTCATTCATTTATTTTATTCTTTCTCCTTTCAGTTTCTGGGTGGGTGTGATTCATGTATCCGCACCTTGCTCTGTGCACTCTAAATCGTGATTTAGCATTGCGTGACGTGGTGCGAGGGTTTGTGACGAGCAGGCCAGGGTGGAGGGCATCATGTCATTTTTTTGAGTGTGGGTCTGCTTGTCGTAGCGTCCTTGTTTCTGCGCCCAGGGGAGGAATTTGGTAGGGATTGCGAGAGAATGCTAGGGGGCGTGTTGAGCAGACTGGTTGGTGGTGGTTGCAGGACAATTCTTGTGGTATCTCTTAGAGACTGACTGGTGGGGTGTGATTGTGGGTCAGGGCACAGTCTGCAAGTGGTGATTGTGCGGATTGATTGATTGAATCTGCGGGTGGGGAGTAAGTGACTTGTTGTGATGGAGGCAGCAGCGGCGTCTTTGACCAGAGCCACCCCTTCGGTCACAGTAGCCACAAAGGTGGCTGCTGTTTCAAGCAGCAAGCAGCTGGGTTCGGTTTCCACTCTCACCACCCCCTTTTTCGTTCTGCCTCTGGCAACGAAATCGCAGAGACGCATGCGCTCCACCTCTGCCACGCTCGCTACCAATCCTTCCGCTGCTACATCCGCAACCACCATGACCCCCACTCCTCGTGCTGGTGGACTCATTGAGCCCGATGGTGGCGTCCTGGTCGACCTGCATGTCCCAGAGCAGGAGAAAGAGAGCAAAAAGGCCGAGGCCGCGACATTGTCCAAAATTCAGCTCAACTTGGTGGACTTGCAATGGGTGCACACTGTCGCGGAGGGATGGGCCTCGCCTCTCACTGGCTTTATGCGTCAGAACGAGTATCTGCAATCTTTGCATTTCAACTGCCTTCGCCTGGCTGACGGCACCTTCACCAACATGTCCCTCCCCATTGTCTTGGCCATCGACGACGAGAAGAAGGAGAGCTTGTCTGGTGTCAACGCTGTCACTCTTGTTGGTCCAGATGGCAACGACGTCGCTATCCTCCGCAAGTATGATACCGTAGTGCACTTGGTTTTGGAGTTGTTTTACAATTTGGATACTCTGGTGATGTGGTTTCGTTGCTACGCTTGTAGGTCATTTTCCAGAAGCTTTAGAGTATCCCTTTAGCTTGAACACTACAACTTGGTTTGCCGTTGACTCCAGCGGATTTCGTCAACAAGTGTGCATTCTTCTCAGAGGTGCGCTAAATTTGACGAGATGTTGTGCAATCTTTCAGTTTGTATTTATCGATCCGTTCGTTATTCGCAGCATTGAGATTTACAAGCACAACAAGGAAGAGCGAATTGCTCGAACTTGGGGAACCACAGCTCCAGGTCTGCCTTACGTAGATGAAGCGATTGCGAACGCCGGAGACTGGCTTATTGGTGGAGATTTGGAAGTTCTTGAGAGAATCAAGTATAATGACGGACTTGATCACTACAGACTGTCACCGGCAGAGCTGCGTGCTGAATTCGAAAGGCGTGAGGTATTAATCAATGAATCCGCTACATGCTAGAACGAGTCCAGTACACATTGCCTTGCGTCAAAAGTTACTGCACTAGTTGCATTATTAGTGGTTTTTGAATTTGTCAGTGTATCAGTAGTTAATCTTGTTTAGTCTCGAATACCTTCTATCTTCTCACTTTCTGTCTCAAGTGCTGAGCTAATTGATGTCCGCTGTGATGGCACAGGCCGACGCTGTATTTGCTTTTCAGCTGCGCAACCCTGTCCACAACGGACATGCGTTGCTGATGACCGACACTAGACGCCGGTTGCTGGAAATGGGTTACAAGAACCCTCTTCTGTTGTTGCACCCATTGGGTGGTTTCACCAAGGCAGACGACGTTCCTCTAGAATGGAGAATGAAACAGCACGACCAGGTATCGTACCTTTACCAGCTCTCCTGGCCAATTAACTTTTTCGCAGTCTGAGTAGATCATATTATGCGTCTGATCGGTACCGAGTTTGTGAGTTTTAAATCATAATACCCCCACGACAATGTTGAGCAAGAGAAAAGAATATCGTTTTGACGTTGCAACAATTTTGTAGGTCCTTGAAGCCGGAGTCCTTGACCCTGCGACCACCGTTGTGGCCATTTTCCCCTCTCCCATGCACTACGCCGGACCGACGGAGGTGCAATGGCATGCTAAGGCTCGCATTAACGCCGGTGCCGACTTCTACATTGTTGGCAGGGATCCAGCTGGTATGGGCCACCCCACTGCCGGGCGCGATCTCTACGACGCAGACCACGGAAAGATGGTGCTCAGCATGGCTCCTGGCCTTGAGAAGCTCAACATTCTGCCCTTCAGGGTAATTCCAGAATGACAGCCCCTATCTGATAAATGTTTCTCTGTCGTTTATGTTGTGCTGTGAGACTACTCAGCTCATCTGAAACAAATGTGTAGAAATGTGTCGTTGCCACAAAACCGTTGTGGACAGTGTCGTTGTATTGTAAAGGTGGAGCAGCAACAGTGAACATAATTATTTTTGTCTAATTGGTGGTGGATTCAAATCGTTCAAACAGGTATAACCGAACTAATCAGTAGTCGTGGAGGTTATACCTGTTATACCTTTACGACTACTTGTCTGAACAAATCGTCACTTATTGAATCGTAAGGAAGGCCGTCATTCGTATTTACGATGACCTTTTGGAGGGATTGAAGGAGAGTTACTGATATGGTTGTGTTGTGTAGGTTGCGGCTTACGACAAAACGAAGAGTCAGATGGCATTCTTCGATCCATCCAGGGCGCAGGACTTTTTGTTCATTTCTGGTACCAAGGTGTGTATCTCTTGCCCTTAGTGTGTCCTACTCGGCTTCCTTCTTACAGTTCTCTTTTTCCTGCCAGAATTCGTCTTTCTGAACGTGGTCATTATGCCAAACGTTTACGCAGATGCGCAACTTTGCGAAGAACAACGAATCGCCACCAGAAGGGTTTATGTGCCCAGGAGGGTGGCAAGTGTTGGTGGACTACTATCAAGGACTGCAAAAGCAGGAATAGCTTAGAGTACTCATTTAGTTTAGGACCCTTGAATGTGAGAACAGTGGTTGGCGGACGTTTCTAAATTGAATAGTTTCACCAGGAGCACAAATGCTTGTTGTAAGAGCAGTGGTTAATTAGCTTTGCAGGAAGTGTCGGTCATTGCAGTGACGTTCAGAGGGATAGCGGTTGCGGCATATTTCTCCAAAATTTTGGACGAGTCGAAAGATTAGGGCTTGAAAGAGTAAGTTCCTGATCCAATAATCAGATCAGATTGCACGAAGCAGAATTTTTCGCTGCCAGTCTTTCATACATTCGCATCCAGTAGTCTGGTTGCAGAGAATATTCCCGTTACCTCGGGTTGCAGGTATGTCTGGTGAGAGTTTATCCTCAAAATAGACGACCTTGTTTACAACGCAGCTGGAGTCACGGCCGTCTTAACGATTATATCAACAATACACTGGTTCATTCTAGTTAAGTTTATGCACTCCTATCCATGGACCCAAGTCAACCATCCTCAATTTAATGTAACCATTTGAGACAGAATCAAAAGCAGCCGCTTACAGCAAATGCTGTTATCAGTTAATACATAATCTGGTAGCTGTTAACATTCTTGTGAGCGTGTCCTCGACAGAGATTAGATGAAGTGCATGAGGAGGTTTCCTTTGACTTGATTTGCCATCCATGCACAATGGCATCGAATAAATCTGCTTCGGAGTCTGTTTGCCAGCGCTGAACAATCTGTATCCAATCAGGAAGCACGGTTAGTTGTCTGTATCCGGGCAATGTGATGTACACGGCTTAGTTTCTAGTGAAGTGTCGAGGGCTAAGTCCTGGCAGGGTACCTTCATCCCCCGACTAAGATCTGGGGAATAACTAGTGATTATTCAGATTCTCATCCAACTACAAACTAGAGCTTTTGGGCGACTTTGAAGTCTTTTTTACTTTTTTGCATTATTTCTACTAATGTGGCTTTATTATTTGCATCGTTTTTAGAATATTATCACATTAAAGACACATTAGTAGAAATTGTGCAACCTATAAGGTAAAATGTACATGGGTAAAATTTGAAAGTTTCAAGATATTCAATGATGATCTTAAATCAATTTTGTATGTGCATGGTATGTGTAGGGCTTGGTGAGACATAAAACTACTGGAATTTTATAACAAAAAGTGTGCTTGGACAAAATAACAAATCTTTATGAGAATTTTGAATAGCACACAAAATTCAATTTGTTTCTAATTGAACGTTTCAACAACAAAGTTATTTCTGCATGTGCACAATAGTTATAGTATCGATTCAGAGACAGTCATTCTATTCAAGTTAATTTGTCCCAAAGGCTTAAAATCAACAACCCATTCACAATTAAAAGTCACAGCTTCATATTTTTGAAACTTTAAGAGAAACCAACGAATCCCTACTTTCGACGTTTATTCCACTGAGTACAACGAATTCCACGAGTCAACCATTTTCTTAATTGTTTTTTACTATATTTTGGTCAACCTGTGTGGAATGTGAAGTCTAAAAGGAGTCAGGTGGTGAAATGGCTCTACCACATATTCATCTTACGAGCTGATTGAATTAGATTAGATTAGATTAGATTGGATTAGTGCTGCAATTCTCCACATTTATGTTAAAACGAGAATTTGTTGTAGGTTGTTAAGTGGAGCGAAGAGAGACAGAGAGGATCTACGCTTGCCGCTGTTGTGGGGATAATCTTGCCATCGCAATTCTTCTCATTCGGACTCAGCTGTTGTGTGCAATGTAATTGTGGCAATTGACTGCATTTTCCCTGCTGTCTTTTTCTCATAGTCCACAGCACTGTAAGGTAGACTGAGCCGTAAATTTGGATTTATCAGTTAAGGAACTCGAATCGCAACTTTGATGCCTTTCAATTGCATGTCAAACACCAGCTGAGTCGTGGGGAAGCCTTGGTTGTCTACGGCAACGCAAGATGTTACACTAATACAGCCATGAATCATTTGCAGGGGCTGGAAACAACTGGTAAACTACTCGATAAGTTCAGTGTTGACTTGATTTATGCTGTTCACATGTTTGCCTATTACTACATGTTTTATGCTAGTACACCTGCTCCGCACAACCTAGGAACCACTTCCACTGGTGAAAGCAAAATAGTGCTTCAGGTGCTTGGAAGCAAGCTTAAGGTGGAGATTATATCCACAAGGTTGAGATGTGACGAAGGCTTCCATCACGCAGTGAACACACGCAACTTTTCGCATCAGAACATTCTGCTGAGCTACAAAATTAAACCCACTTTTGAACTTATCACTCACGCAGAAAGTTCGATGCACCTTATAATTCAATTGCAACGCAGGTTTCGCTTGCCAATATGCACACCGTGAGTGGCAAGTTGGCGTGAAGCACATGCTGGTTGCCAAAAATAATGAGCAGTCAGGGTCCACCTTGGCCAACGAAAAGAGAAAATTATTACTCGAATTCCTGTGCTGTTTTCAAGAGGGAAAGAGGCTGTGCAAAAACAACAACAACAACAAATAACAGAAGAAAAGAAAAAGAAACCTAGTGGAAGGAATGAGGCTTCAACATTCGCTGTTCAAATGGGCCCCTCCAATCACCCACCATTTTCCCGCCTCATGATTGAACGGCAGACTAGCAAAGTCATCAGGGGAAGGGGAGAAACTTTAGGTTGAACCAGGCAAGTGCTGTGCTTTCTATTATACACCAGCAGCTTTGCGTCAGTTACGCCTCAGTCTTCACCGCCACCGAAGAAGAAATTGTTCGATGTGTTTTTCCCAAGGATTCAATTTCGAATCGGTGATCTGGCTGGGCTATCTTTATACTAACTGCCAGTTCTCCCCGTTCATTCACTTCATTATTTTGACATCGCCAGCTTTTTGCTCTCTCACCCACTCAAAACCTAAGAAAGAAATCCCCTTCCGTCACTTCCGGACGAAACAGCGCCCACTCTCTCTTGCACGTGGATCCAAGATTCCTCTCCTTCAACACCGAAACCTTCAACATTAGCAGACTCATCTCCACGGGTTTTTCCCTCTTCCATCTCGATGTTTTGACACTCCGTCACTCTTTCCTTCCTTCCTTGTCCGTAAATCCTGCTTTCAACTCGCCCGCCTTCATTGATAGTTGCGTACACTACTCCTGCTGCTGCGCTTTGGATATCCTCTGAGGTTGGTGGATTTCTATGCCCCTGACGTGCGTGTTTTTATCATAATTTCGTTATTCGACTTCGTTATGTGCTTTATGACTACCGACATCGGATCGAATATTTTGAAGTTCCTGGAGATAGGGGAGGGCGTGACGTACCTTGGATTGGAATTTTTTTGTTGTTTTTGTGAATGGTTTGTGATTGTGAGGTTGGGGCGAAGTTAGATCGAAGGGTTTCGCGTGAGTGGTGAGTGAAGAGTTGGCCCGAACAGTAGGACGTTTGTTTTTGTGGGTTTCTAGGGAACGTCAAGGAAATGCTTGAGGTTCGGGTGCTCGAGAATTATTTTTTGACTAGGTTGGAAATCTTAAAAGTCCCAGCATAGCTTATTTCACGATTTAAAGATGTGCGTTGAAGATTTGTGTGTAAGAATTGAGCTGCTACGGGCCAGGTATGCTCAATTATTGGTGGTAGCTTGAAGAAATCGTGCGTTTTTGAGGTTGTACATAGCCACAATGTTAGTTAGGGCGCTCTCAGAGGATTGAGAATACCACTGATTCCGCGAATTGTCTCACCTAAGGGTCAAAAATTTCTTGTGCCGTGTAGATTTTTTTTCATTAGCTTCTTCTCAATTCTATTTTTGACCGCGCTTTTCCTGAAAGCACCTGCAAAAGAGCTTCAATTATGCAAGAGTATCATGCTCTAGTTTGTTAGTGAGGGTGGAGAGGCTGAGAACTTGTTCTGGAATATACTGGTGCATCAGCCGTAGCCCTTATTGAGCCCTACTAGAAGCACAGTGTAAGGGTTTTCAGCCTTTTAGTGATAGTGAGTTGTCTGTATTCAAGTATGATGTTTAGGAAGGATTTAGATCGATTAATGTTCTTTCGCATATTCGTAATTCTGCAAATTCTATTATCAACCCTCAGAAGCCTTAGGGGGCTACCCTCATCATGCTAATGCGTCGCCGAGGGAGTATGTATTGCACGACCGTTGGATTCATTGCAGGAGATTTTAAAGGAATTTTTGGGATTTTTGGATATCACAGGCCATGAATCTGAAACGGCGAATTCGTGGGTTCTGTGGATGATAGTGTATCAGAAGTATAGATTCTGGTGACATAAACGCACATTTATATGTAGATAGATTAGTCATAAGGTGCTGGATTGTTAATTTCAGGGTGAGATAGATGTTCAATTGTACGATTTCATTTAGCCGTCGACCTTTGGAGACTCAGCAGTCGTGTGCTATTCGTAGCTCTGTTGGATAGAACTGCTCTAACAATTTAGTGCAGACCCGCACATGCATCAAAGCTGAGACATTGTACTCATAGGAGGGGGAATGAAAACACTTAAATTTTTTGTGTTCCATTATTTATTGCAACCTCAGAAAGGTTATCATAATATGTTAATATCCCACGTTAAACTGACGTCCTGGCGGGTTTCAGAATAAGATATAGACATTTCTTATTCGTTTATTCATGTCATAAAACAGGAAGGTGGACACTACTCTAGCTTGGTGAAGCTGACTGAGCCGATTGAGGCGCGAACCCTTTGATACAGAAACATGGTCGCTAGCGAGAAGGCATTAAGCTGCGCTGTCTCTGTGACTTTGTTGCAAGACTAGGTCATCTGTAACCCAGTTAACGGCTCAAGGGAGGTTTGGAGGCAGACCCTGGCATGCAGGGGAAGGACATGCCAGGAGTCAATGGTGGAGGCCCGATGTGGAGTCAACTTCTGAACAGGGACCCCTCTGAATTACCTTCCCACAATAGCGAAGATGAACTCATGTTGGGATATCGGGACCCGGGTATGGAGAGTCTTGATTATGAGGTCGTGGAAAGCGTCGCTTATCGAGAGGATCAGGTACTCTTGTGATTGCTTACTGCGGGTATACCCTTCTGTATTTTATCATGCTCTGATACTTGTACGTTTCTTTTATGTAAGCACAACGGGAGGAATTCATTGACATTTTTGAGAATCATGAGTGCACGTTATTTGAACCAGTGTCTTATTGAAGAGGGAAAGGCGTGAATGGAATAGTAGTGTGCACAGGGATTAGAAGCAGTCCAAAATGAGGACACTAAGGTTTAGACATTTTGAAAGAGGGTATAAACTAGATGCCTGGGAAGCATTACACTTTGATGTCACTCAATCAACTGAAGGGGAAGGCCTTTGGTGTTCACATGTATTGTTCAATTTATTCGTAAAAAGTTCCTGAAGTGATGATGACCGCGTTGCTGAATATTGTGAGAGTTGACTTCAGGCACAACGAGGAATTTGGCATCATGCTTCCTACATAACCCTGAAATGGACCTTTTCTCTGCTCATTGGTATAGGTATGTCATAATCCCTCCTTCGCAATTCTTTTCTTAGAGCCCTGTTGTGCAATGTTCTAGTTGAGCTGCAACATTCGCAAGGTTTTAGTTGCGAAATTCCCGCCGCAAGCCCAGTTTCAGGGTAAGGCTTTGTCGGAATTGTGTGTGTGTATATATATATATATATATATATATATATATTCATCGTCGTGCCCTTAGTAACTAACACCAGATTGCCGTTCTTGCAGGGACAGGGCTTGCCGCCTTTCTTATCAATATTGCAGTAGAAAATTTCTCGGGATGGAAGTTTGCGGCAACATTTGCTCTTATGAAATATAGCACCTTTTTAGGTTTAGTAATCTACATTGCATTTAATGCAGCTTTAGTATTTTCATCTGTTTACATCATCACTCAATTTGCTCCCGCTGCAGCAGGGTCAGGCATTCCAGAGATCAAGGCTTATTTAAATGGTATGTTAAAGTCGTGTGTTGTTTTCATCAGCTAGTCTGCCCACGTCTGGTCGTTTGTATCCTATTGTTCCTTCATTACGTCGTGACAAAACAAGTTAACTGCTTAAATGGGGTTTTCTTGGTATGTGCAACAGATTTAGATGATGTTCTAACGGTTTTAATTGTTTACAGGTGTTGATACTCCTGGTATTCTCTTGTTTCGGACGTTGATTGGAAAGGTGAGAAATCATCACCTTTCTGCCGTGCGAATCAGCTGCAATAGATAAATACTTCATATCATGTTTTGGTTTAACTTCAGGTGTTGTTATAGAGGAAAGCCAATTTTTTTGTGTAGTGTACGGAAGCGAGCCGATAATAAAATTCTCTGTCAACGGTACAGCACATGAAGCTATTGATCTTTGCATATGTTTTATTGTTGCAAATGCACAATTATGTTTATTCGTATCTAACAATATGTTGTTTTTTTTTTTTTTTTTTTTTTTTTTTTTTTTTTTTTTTTTTCTTTTTAAATGAAGAAGTTCAAATTTAGTTTTTTTCTTGTATGTTTTTCAGGTGCTAGGTAGTATTGGTTCTGTTGGAGGAGGGTTGGCTTTGGGCAAGGAGGGGCCTCTAGTTCACACGGGTGCCTGTATTGCATCAGTACTTGGGCAGGCAAGTCATGCCACTGGTGTCCTACTCAGTTGATTCTATTGCTGTTCTCTTCAAGTAATCTTGTATCGGCCATGTAAAGTTACTTGAGTTAGTCTTGGCATTTTGTAAAAAGAGCCTTCGCTTATTCAACTTTTGAGCGCTGCTTATTGATGGTATGCTTGATGAGAAGTGCAGGGCGGCTCAACAAAGTACCATGTGAATTGGAGATGGCTTCGGAGGTTTAAGAATGATCGTGATCGTCGTGATCTTGTATGCCTTTCAAACTTTTATCCTATCGAATGGTTCATGGAGTCTACAGGATGAAGTTTCTCATGTCTTGTTTTTTCTGGATTGAAGTTGTTTTTCAGGGTTGATTGCGATTGATGTGTTTTCGCAGGTAACATGTGGGTGTGCTGCTGGAGTAGCGGCAGCTTTCAGAGCCCCTGTTGGGGGTGTCTTGTTTGCTCTTGAGGAGGTCACTTCTTGGTACTTGGTTTCTCCTTTCAGAACCCTATCTGTATTGTGTGTCTTAAACTTTTGTATTCATTTAATGCTGAATTATATAAGGTAGAGAGTTGCAGTGCTTTCTACATCAACAGTGTTCGCATTTTGTTTTGTTTGTGAAGGTGGAGGAGTCAGCTTTTATGGCGGGTTTTTTTCACATCAGCTGTGGTTGCCGTTGTGGTGAGGACTGCGATGGGTTGGTGCAAGCATGGAAATTGTGGACATTTTGGTTCAGGTGGATTTATCATATGGGATATTTCAGGGTAAGCGTGTATTGTCGCGTTAGCGAGAGTTTGGCCTTGATACACTGCAGACGAGGAAACATCGAAGTAGCTTGAACGCCTTTTTTCGATAAGCTTGTGCAAACTTGAAATGCTGTTTAGTTTGTGGAGACAATTAAAAGATAACGAATGTCCAAGGGTTCAGTATTTCAGTATGCGTCATTGTACTTTCACTTAGGTTTTCACTTCTAAAATCACTGCACAATGTGTAGGGGTCAGGACGATTATTCATTTTTTGAGCTTTTACCTATGGCCATGCTTGGTGCAATTGGAGGACTTCTGGGTATCGTGCACTCAACTCTTCTCAGATAATAATTTACTTGGAAATTAATGTAATGTTTTTGAGAGTATGGGTTTGTAATAAGGGCCTACATTTCGAATTATTTGGTTTTTTGTGAGCTAATGCTTAGACTCTAAGAATCTATCAGCACGTTTGTTTATCTAGTTAGGATTTACAAGTGAAAATGGTGGCAGGGGCACTTTTCAACCAGCTTACTATCTGGATCTCAACCTGGAGAAGGAATGTGTTGCACAGAAGAGGCACTCGTGTTAAGGTGCACGATATGTTGAACGAATTTATGATTATGCGAATGTTTTAATTCACCTTTTATTTCTCCGTAATGCTTTTCCAAAATTACGAGAGTTCCTAGGAGTTCCATCAACTTAATCTATTCGTTTTTTTTTTTTTATTTTATTATCACGTCCTTATTGCTTTCTTCTTGAATAGTTTTGGTTATTAATTGTGTGAAAGGGTTACGAACCGGAATCTCCTGTGGAGTAATGTATATGCGTGGTTGATTGTCACATTGAAATGGACACTGTTTTCTGTTCGAAATAGCGCAGATTATTGAGGTTCTCCTGGTATCATTGATAACATCGATGTTATCATTTGGTTTGCCAATGATGACTACCTGTAAACCGTGCCCTGATCCAGTGAAGTACCCAAGTGTTATCTGTCCCCGCCCCTCGGGCAACTACGGCAATTATGTCAATGTAAGTTGAGGTTTTTTCTCTCGTTCGGTCTTGAAAGTTTATGACAGATCTTTGTTTCAAGTGATTTTTACGTTTTGTTTTTCTGGGCACCTGATTAGAAATGAAATTTCTAATAAAATCTTGTTTGTAAGAATTAATTATGTTCTCAGCTGAATGTAAAGATGCTATGTACTTGGAGTTGATGAGAGATAGCGACCCGGTCCAGTTGGTAACTAGTTTTTGTTTCAGTTCTGTGTTGAATCCATTAGTGCAATCGGCTGTCGTTTGTGCTGAAGCAGTTCCTTCATATATTCTTTTCACGAGAAGTTCCATATGGGCAAATATTTTTGGGTTCTATCTTCTTGTCAGTGTCCTTGTTCTACTGATTATTGTTCTTACTTGCCTCTATGAAACATGTTTTGACTAGTGCAGTTCTTTTGTCCAAACGAGAACCAGTACAACGACCTTGCCACAATCTTTTTTAATACGCAGGTGAGGCATTTGATCTGTTCAGACGTTCTTTGTATAACGTGGGATAGGTTTTGGATATTTTTCTCGTTCTAAAACGGTGTTACTGTGCCCTTGTGTGTTGTGGAATAATTCGTTGGACATTAAATCAGTTAAATAAACAGCGAATTTCTTTGGAAATCTCATGCTGCATATTGTTAAGCAGAAGTGTTCCCACATTGAATATTTCTTAATATTTGATGTGGTCCACAGGATGATGCAATCAGAAACCTTTTCAGCACCAACACCCCACATGAATACTCCACTCGTAGCCTCTTGACCTTCCTGGTATGTTTCCCATGCCATTGTAATTTACTATTATCTTTTGTTAGACCATGCTGAAATGCGATGCTAAAATCACTATCCATTCGATATTCGCTCTGTTAAAGTTGCTGATCTGTTCAGTGGCGACTTTCAATCCTGTAGTTTGTTTTGTGAATTTTAATTGGCCATGCGCAGGAGTGGGGCACTGAGTGTGAAACGTGGAACATGTGCAGGTGATGTTTTTCGTGCTAGCAGTGCTGACATACGGAACAGCTGTTCCATCAGGGCAGTTTGTTCCAGGTATTATGATTGGTGCCACTTACGGGCGACTTGTCGGCATTTTGGTTGTCAATGCTTCGAGTAAGGATAGTGTTGACGAAGGAACGTACGTATTGGGAACTTTCAACTGACTTATTCTTTCATGACATTGTTAGCCAGAAAGTCTTTATGCTTGCTACTGACCCATCTTGTCGATCACGAGGGACTCTTAAAATGACTTGGCACCTGGCTGCCAAGAAAACCTACTGGCTTGTAAGGAATGTGATCCTCATTCCGCAATTCCAGAAAAAGAGTTACATGCCGTAGAGTCTTAAATGTGCTCGCCAACACTTGTGAATAGGTATGCTTTGCTGGGGGCTGCCTCATTTCTGGGCGGCTCAATGCGGATGACCGTGTCACTCTGTGTTATCATGGTCGAGATTACTAATAATCTTCAACTACTTCCACTCATTATGTTGGTCCTCCTTATTTCTAAGGTGAGCAGTTTTCTGCTTTGTACTAATTTATTTTCTTTTCTGCGTTCTGATCTGCAAATGTTATTTTTCTTCTCCTGTCAAAAGTACTTCCTCAATCTTTTTTACATGCATGATCCTCTGAATTACTTGCCAAGTGTTTGTGTGGGGAGGTATTTATCGTCATTCTGATGTAATTTTTAGACTATTTCGCTGTATCGCTGTTCACTTACGATGATGATGCAGGCTGTTGGAGATGCTTTCAATAGTGGGTTTTATGAGGAACAGGTCAAGCTTCGAAGTCTTCCTCTTCTTGAGTCAAGGCCGCAACGTTTCATGCGGAATTTGGCTGCCAAAGATGCTTCTGGTACAAGAAAGGTACAGCGTCTTCGATTATGTTTAGAAGGAATCTGAAGAATGAGTAACTGGTTAAAGAAGCATGTTTTGATCGCCGTACGCTGTAATTTATGAACTGTCGTCTCTAGAAAGTAGCTCCTTTCTTTGTTATCTCACATACATGATTGGGAACATGTACCTCGGAAGCTTTTGCAGTACTATTCAGAATGGTCTGAAGTCTGTTTTGTATTATATCCTGAAAGCTTTTTTGGTGTTCGTTGGAAGTTTCAGATTGTGCAGTTCTCAAGGGTGTCGAAAGTTGGCCATATTGTAGCCGTCTTACGAAGCACCAATCATAATGGCTTCCCAGTAAGTTTTAAACTTGGGACCCATCCTTTTCGAGGCACCAAAGCTGAGTTTTGATTATCCACACAATGTTCCATGTTTACTGATTTTAGAAGGCAATCAGCTAGTGGTAAATGAAGGTGCTTTTAAATGGTCTCATGAACATGTATGCTAGAGGCCCTTTAGAATTTTGAAAATATCGCTCCTAGAGAAAGTTCAATTGGCTTTGGAATATACTTCTAGAAAATTACATCGGTTTTTACCTCATTTATTATCTTGAAGTGTATTATGTTCAAGTGATTCTAACAAGGGAGTTTTATGGTGGCAGGTTGTTGATAAGCTTCAGACAGGAGAGCCTGTCGTCATTGGTCTTATTTTAAGGAGGTATGTTGTCAGCTATGTCCCCGAATCTCTTGGATGCTTATGATTTTCCTAACGTTTATCTGTTATCCCTGAGAAGATTCCTGGTCATGATGACGATGACCTTCATCTTTGTTTTTAACTTACTATCTCAAGTGTACATCGTTACCACTGCAGCTATTTACTGGTTCTTCTTCAAGCCAAAACGGATTTTCAGCGTACTCCTACTCTAGGAGATACTCGCGATAGAAGAAATTTCAGGTTACAGTTTGCTACTCCTTGGATTTGTACATTGCCGTTTTTAAACATGTACATCGAAGGATCAATTTTAGGATCTTCCAGGAGCAGCTTAGCATACGCCTTAACCTAAAACTCCGAATAAATTCATATTGTTTTATCGAGGAATTCGCCTGATGTCATGGTCCCCAAAGCTGTAGATCAGCACTATTTAGAGTGACTTAACGTTGATGTTTCGCTTTTTATGTGAAGATATGATGTGAGAGATTTTACAAAGCCAGTATCGAGCAAAGGTATCTCCATTTACGACATTGATATCAGCGCCCAAGAGATGGAGATGTACATCGACTTGCAACCATTTGTGAATCCCACACCTTACATTGTTCCTGAGGACATGTCTCTCACAAAAGTAATTCATCTTTCAATTTGAACTTTATGTCGCAAGGAGATTACGCTATCCACATAACTCTATTCGATTCGATTAGCAGAGGACTGTTCCTCATTGATGCTCTCAACGGTTGTTTGACATTTTGCTAGCGAATTATGGCAGGTGTATAATTTATTTCGGCAGCTTGGGTTGCGGCATATATGCGTTGTGCCACGACCTTCACAAGTTGTGGGAGTAATCACACGGAAGGATTTATTACCAGAGGCGAGTTAAACTTTCCCTTTCATGTCTAAACTCACTTTATGTTTATTATACGTCATCTGAGAAGCTCTTCCCAAATATTAGGAGGTTGTATCGTGATCAAGGGATATATATATTTTTATTTTATTTTATTTTATTTTCTTTCTTCCTATTTGGTTAGTTATTTTTGAACATGACATTTGAAATATTTGTTCCGGCTTTGATGCCTATGGGCTTCTACTCGTTCTCTAAATGATCTTAGAATTTCTGTTGTGATTGTCTCTTACGCAAAATCGTTGTGTTTCTTTTATTACAGGTGTTGGAAGAAAGAGAGAGTTTAGAAGAAATGTTGAGCAGTCGAGGAAGGTTGAGTCTGGAAGCTTGACAAACCCTCTTCTTTTCTTGTGAGAAAATGTATGCTCTCCCTGTCCATATGGTCCCCAAACGGCCTCAGAGCACTGTGGTCACTAAATGCAGTGTTACTCTAAACCTGTCCCAAATGAATAGGGACTTTGTTCTCTTGTTAAAGAAGAGTAACATTGTGATAATATGATTTCAACTGTATGATCATAACACATCATTTGATTTTGTTTTGAGTACATGTTTGTGTGTATTTGATGACATGAAAGGTGTGATGATGCAACAGGTACTTCGTTCCCCCAGAACACAAGCAACCCCTATTAGAGAACTTAATGTAAGGCTAAGTGCAGTGACGAGATCGCTCTTAGATGGCAGGTGCGTAGGCTTGCTTAAATCGTTCTTCTCAGCACGCATACAATAGGGCAATTCCCAGAAGATTGTACAGCTTGCTTAGTTCTCACATTGCCATGTTGTGAATCAACAATTGTTATGGCTGCCTTCCCTACTGATAACAGGCACCCCAGATGCATCTTTATAATCTTGATGCAAAGTTTTTCCTCGCACAAGTTTTGGAACTTGATATTGAGGAGATAGTGTTGGAAATTTGTCATAGTTTTCTGGATTTCTGGAAGACGTGAAAGTTCCAAACCACTGTTATTTTGCGCTGCAATCAGCCATTGCAGTCTTTGTGTCTGTCATACCAGAAGTACAAATGACGTTCCGGCTTTATACAAATCCATCTAATGTATGCGTTGTGTATTACCGTAACATTAGTCGCAGTAATCTAATTCCTTTTGTTTTCAACGTAGACTCTGTAGAGCATGGTTTGGAATAATTTGACATATCTAGATTTTAAAATTCATGTAGATATCACACATAGCAAACATTTAACTGCTGTTGAGAGGAGTCTTGGAGGAGTCTCTTCGACGTATGCTGGATTGTAAGTTCTCAGAAAAGCAGGGCGTGTATGAGTTTTTTTTTTTTTTTTTTTTTTTTTTTGGTTTTGTTTTAAAGACTGACGGCAGCAATTAGTTACCTTGAGCTCGATATTGCACGTGTCGCATGAAAGTCCTTCAAATGCAGCTCTCTATCTCCATTCAAACCTCGAATGTGCAGATTTCATTCTTGTCTACGTAATACCTGTCTAAAATTCTGAGTTGTTTTTGTTCATGATACCATGTCTTTTGAGTGATCTATTTTCATTTAATCAATTCCATTAAAAGGGAATTCACAATTCAAAATGTTAGATTGTTACATCGTAATAAACATGTGTGGTTTATGAATCTGGTTGACATGTTGAGTCAAATGTTTGATTCTCATTTTCAATTGGAATGCTTGACGATTTTGCATACTGAGTTTTAAACTTGAAATATATATATATATATATATATATATATGTGTGTGTGTGTAAAATTTCACTCTCTTCAATCTTATGCTTTAACATACTTTTTCCACTTATTGCCACCACCTTATTTATTCCTACCTCCTTAAGTGACATGTTATTTTTGTACTATTATTGTATGATTTTTATTTTTATTTTTATTTATTTTTTAATTTGCATTTTTCTAAATCTCGAATATAAAATTGAAAATTACAAAGAATATTTTGAGAAAATATCTTTTAGAAAAAAATATAAAATTATTTTATTAAATTCTAATTTTTAGCCATTAAATTATCAATGAATACTTACAAACTATGTCATGTATTTAAAATAAAAATTTAGCAAGTAAATTTATGTCTTAAAAAACATGAAAATATAATTCATAAGTAATCTTTAATTTCTATTTATAATTTATATTTGAAAATTGACATGAAATTGTAAGCTCTTTAAATATATATATATATATATATATATTTCAACTTAATCAAATTTATTAAGTCTTAATATTTTATTACATCCTATAGTTCCATGGTTGGCTCCACATTCCACTCTTGCCATTTTGTTGATAATCACTTGGGCTTAGAAGTGATGTTCCATGTTGGATAACATATACACCCTCCTTATTGTTCTCACCCTTTTCATTATGACATCAACACCATCAACTTGATCTACTCCACTAACAAACTTGAAGATCAATCTCTACTTTGCATTTGTCCATTGCCTCAAGGGGTACATCCTTAAGAATAATAGAAGATATACCACCTCTTAATGTTGTAAAAATCCAATCTATTTAATTGATTTTGACTCTTGTAATTTAACATAATCTTCATGTCTACTAAATAGATATAAAAACTCCTTTTTTCAATGGACTCTTCTAAGAAGAAATCTATATGCAAGTACCTGATGGTATTACACCATCATAATCTGACTTCATTTGTCGTCTCGAAAAAACTTTCTACAATCTCAAGCAATCTCAATAGAAATTATTCAAGGACTTTGAAGCTTTTTTTGCCAACCTTGGCTTTGCCAATTGTACTGCAAATTGCAATGTCTATTACTTTGATTGCAGCCAAGACTTTGCAATTTCCACCTTATCTGCTTTTGTAATTAGGATTTGATATAATACATGCATAATTAAAAAAAAAAAATTTATAAATGTATATTCTATTATATTCATAGATTGTTTGATTATACCTTAGAGTACTACCAAAGTCTACAGCTACTACACTCATTATTTGGCTTCAATGATGTAGACTAGGTCAATAAGCTGGACTAATATTGCTCTTTCTTGGACTACATGTTTTTACTCTACTAAGACATTGTAAGTTGATGCTTTATTTGTTAGCATTCTATAGCCATTTTTAACATCAAGGTTGAATACATGGCTATGGCCATAGCCACTTCCAAGGCTATTTGATTCTAATACTTATTTCATGGCCTTCTTAAAAAAAAAATTCTTTATCAATACAACAATCTTTTGCTTTGATAATCAATCTACTTTATCTTTGCTAGATACAACCAAATTCTATTTTTGCACAAAGCACATCATAATTTATTACCACATCATTTGATAACTCATAGCTCAAAAAAAAAAAAAAAAAAAAAATCAAATTTAAATATTTTTCTACAAACAAAATGAAGGCCAAAATATTTACCAAACCTATGTTAGGTTTGAAGCTCATCCTACATCTTCTGCTAGTTAATAAGCTTGGAAGAAAATCCAACCAGCATTACAATTTGCTCACACAGGCATATTAAAAAAATATAGTAGTTACAATAATCACATTGTGGTGATAATAAAGAATTTCACCCTATCAAAAAGACTCAATTCTTTTGAATGCATCTTCTTTGGTAATATGATCCAAATTATTTAAAGGCAACATATAATTAGAAACACTACTCTTTATAAAAAAATTATTTTATAACCTTAAATATAATTTATTAATTTGAATAGCACAAAGATTAAAGAAGCAATCAACTACATCAATTCCATGGAAGTTTTTGGAAGGGCTTTTAGGCAAATCTTTGAAGCAATTTTTGATTCTTCATACTACCACTTATTAAAATAAGTAAATAAAAATAAAAGTAGAATAAATTATCAAGTAAAAGATATTATTTTAAATAAATTCTTAATTAGATTGACTCTTGGTATATGAAAAAGACATTCTATGAATATAGGATGAGCTTAAAGGTCAAAAGTCAAAGTCAAGAAGATAAAGTATTAACTAAAAAATATTCAAAGACTAGATAAGAATAGTTAATATTTGGCATAGGATATCCTCATAGTTAGTAATATGCCAAAAGATCCAACGACCATAGAATACCCTTGTAGTAAGTTAGATTCCAAAAGATCCTTAGATCATATATGTAAAAGTCAAAGAATGGAAGTTGTCTTTAAGGTAGCAATTACTATCTAAAAGTAACGGATATTGGAAGTGAGAGATATCTTATTCTATATTCTCTTTGTGTACAACCTTGCTAATGCTATATATTATGACTTAAAATTTCTTTTTCTTCAATAGTTTATGGGCCTATTTACGTTTAATTATGACCTTTGAAGTTCTTTGAAGTCTTTCTTATTGTGAAGAGTAAATCTTATGGTTGTTGCTAGTGTTAAGATTTAATATCTTCTAATTCCACTTTTACATCTAATTATTGATGTAATTTTGTTCTTACTTATTTTTAAGTGCACTCATGATTTTAGAGGTTATTAGACAGCTTAGAATGATGTTTTAAAATACTAATGTTTTTTTTTTTTTTTTTTTTTTTTTTTTGAGTTATATCATTGATGCTCCAATACTATGCTTTTACGAGCTTAAATTCTTAAAAGATCTTTTTATAATAATACGAACTATTTTGTGAGATTAAAAGTGTTATTTGATATTAGTGGTGTTTATAGATAGGCAAAAATTATACAAGATGTTAAAATAGAGTATAAGACTTGTGAGAAGTCTTATAAGTGAAGTTGAGAGTGATTAAAGAATAAAATTATTAGTTCATTTACAAAAAAAATATTTTGGATTCCTAAAGCAATAACATTTTCTTGTTTATTTTGAGAGTTTTTTTTTTTTTTTTTTTTTTTTTTTTTTTTAAATTTTCTTTGATACAATTCTTCTTTAGACATGGGTTCAAGTGAAGGTAAAGACTTGGAAGTAATTGAAAGTTTAGAGGTGACAATTTCTATCATTGGAAGAAAATAATGGAGCTTTTATTGGCTTCATTGGATCTTTGGAATATTGTTAATGAAAGTAAAGAGCCTTGAAAGCATGACAATGATGTCAAGGTGAATAAGAAGTTCAAATATTATAAAAGAAAGGCTTTTAGATTGATTGCAACAAATCTTCATGATGTCAAATTTTTACATTTAATTACTTGCAATGGACTAGTAGAAGCATAGAAGACTCTTTACAACATGTACAAGAGTAGAAATCTTTCCAACATTCTATGAATAAGAAAGAAGTTATTAATAGTAAAGATAGAAAGAGGATATGATTTCATGGCTTATATCAATAACATACAAGATTTTAAAAATTAAATAGCAATTTTTGACATGTCAATTAACAATAGAGAAATTGTATTAACATTATTCATGAATCTTTCAAAGTCCTATAACTACTTCATTGTGGCATTGCAATCTATTAATATGAAATAAATTAGCATAAGTTATGTTACATTATTGTACTAAAAAGTGATATAATATATAAAAATAAGATAAAATATTTTAAGAATGTAATTTGTAATAAAAAAATTAAGAAGATAGTTATAGATATTGATAATTTATCTCCACAAATAAATCAAGATAGATTGCTATTGACTTGAGATAGAATTGTATGATGCTAAGGTAAAGAATCATGGATTGAGGTGGAGTGACATGGACTTGTGTTGACTTTTGGATCCTTCTCTCTCTCTCTCTCTTTTTTTTTTTTTTTTTTTTTTTTTTTTTCTTCAGATTCTCTCCTAAGATGTAGCCAATAATTCTTTGGAAGTTTTCTCAAAATATTTTCAGTATTTTTTTGGGAGATTTTGAAACATATTTTTCCTTCTTACAAGCTTTTCAAAATGCTCTAACTAGCTCTAAGCAAAGTTAGTATGAAGATGAAGGGTGTTTTAGAATAAAGAAAGAGTTAGCTACTCTTTAAGGTCTTCTTCAAGGTTTTTTTTGGTAGAATTTTTATAGTTCTTTTAATATTTTGTATGTAGATTTTAAAAAGTATATTTATTCTTTATTAGCTATTCAAAAAAAAATTATTTGCTGTAAGAGGAGTTAGTGTAAAGATGGAATGAATTTTTAAATAAAAAAGAGTCAATTGCCTCATGTTAATATGATCATTAGATTTATTTATTTATAAGGTAT